TGATATATATATCAAAATTTGGCCGTGGATTTAAGCAAATAACGATATAAAATAAAATTTTAAAAATTCTTTTAAATGCTTTCAATCTATTAATAAAGTTTTTCACGAACAGAATTATTCTTTGCAGAAATATTTCATGATTCTTATTACAAATTATGGAATTCTCCTCGATAAATAATAAATCAAAAGGATGAAGACGAGCTCGTTAAACGAGAGAAGGCAAATATGACGTTCGAAGCTTGTGATACGATACTCGAGATCTTGTTTCCCCGTGAAAAGCATTGCTTCGAGTTCTACCTGACTTCCATTTCGTGTCTCTGATGGCAGAAATTTGCTTCTGTTCCTCCGTCGGTAAATTCGCTCGATATTCACGCCTTCTAATCCCGTGTAAAGTTAATTATCTCGCTTAAGTCTCTATCCACAGTAAACTCTTATATTATTTCACGCGGAGAATATCTTCGCATAAATTCCGTCTTCCGTTTCATCGTACGTGTTTATACATTCTTTTGCATATATAGTCGACATAATTATTCCTTTATTCGATGTAAGTCAAACGTTTTGAATCTCGATATATCGCGTGCTGAAACGGTAAAATGATTCGTTGCTCGAAAATTTCATTTGAATTGTTTGTAAAAAACAGAAAAAGGAAACGAAGTTACCGACAGAGCGGTCCGTTCGAATCTTTTCGTCGTTGTATCCTTTTGTCGTTCGGTTTGTGGGCACACAGTCTCTGTTCTTTCGGTCGGTGGATCCTCATAATTGGGGAATAAATCGTGGTGCAGGCAGGACGCATTTGGGGACGAAGTGGAATGATCTCGTTTCTAAAAACACACCACGCACGAACCGGCGTGGAAGTAATAACAGACGTTGAAACGGCGGGGAATGCGAGAGAGCGGGCCGCGTGCACGGCCTCGAATAAATAATTCATGATACGATAAACGTGCGCGTGCGCACACGACCGGATGCGTTATCCGGCCAATAGATTCACTTGCGCATAATATCGCCGATGATCAGTCAGTTAGGTATATTCGTTCTCTGACGGAATTACCGGTTATCGAGATTTGAAACAGTGAAAGCGGCAATAACTACTATAATGGCGCCCAGCAGTGAATAGGTTAGAAAAATTATAGTTCAACTTTTTTGAGATTGTAAGAATAATAAAACTGTTTTTATTTATTTTAGCATTAATGAAAGATTTAATAGAATCCATTAGAAATAAAATTATGAATATATTTTATTTCGAAAGTTAAATTCATTATTTTTTTTTATTTAATATATTGTGCAGTATTATAGCATTGTATTCATTGCGAGAAAAAAAATCTATTTAAAGAGGTTATCATTGTCAAGATTACATTTTTGGTTTTCTAAAAGTGCAAGGAACAACGAATTCTTTTTGTAGCAATAAGAATTTATCAGAAGAGAGGAGATGTCTAAATATTAATAATGCAACGATGTATGTATTGAGAATTTTGCAGATTGATAATCGATCATTATAATATCTTTAATTTTTAGATAGATTTAGTTATATTATTTTTTACAGATTTAATTAAATTTAGTTTTTTTAAATAAAATATTCACTAGACACTATGTGAAATTTAATGTATGAATCTGAATGAAAAAATTTAAATACATTTGTGCTATAAAAACAGGTAGGAATAAATATTGGAAATGACATTTATTTTATATTATATTTATATTATTTTTATAAATTTCAAATTATAAACTTTGTTACTTTTTATTGGATTTCTCAATTAATTACATGTTTAACTATATGTTACTTAATTTTTTTTTATATTATTATTATATTTATCATAATCTTCTTCTAATTTCTTAATCTAATTTCAATAAATAATACTTGCAGATGATTGCAAAAACTAGATTCTATAATAAGATACGTTTAAAAATACGTTTCATTGAAAAAACATAACGTATATAAATATTTTTTGCATCCTATATATTCCCGAAACAAATTTCATTCAATAATTATTTTATAGTATGAACTCTATGTACATTTTTTGATTACAAAGGAACGATAAACGATTGTTTATAATTTGATCTGCTCCAAAGCTTTACTCGCAAAATTTAAAATGATAACGTTATAAAAAATTGTGATAAGAGGGCGTTTTTTTATTATCTCCTAGATATATAAATATATATACTATTCGGAAATTACATTCTCGCGGTAACGGTGACGACGAAACCGCTGAAAATCAAGAGAAAGGAATTTCAAAATTGCGGGAATGTTCGCCTCCTCCCCTTTCGCTCCTTCTTCGCCGTTTCGGTCGAGCAGCACTCTGTTTTCCAAGCATTACCTTTCAATTCGACAGAGCGAAACGCGGTTACTTGGAATGGCGGGGGGGGTGGGGGGGACACAGAAATGCGAATAGTCAGCAAGTCTGGTCGTCTGCTGACCGGGCACGTACATAGGAAACCTCGAGAGCAGTTTCTCCGCAGCTTTGTCAGCGAATTACTATCGTTGCTCTCTTATAGTCGTTTGGCTTTGCCCGTCTGAAATTTAATACGATTCTTACAAGTATATCTCTCGCTCGTTGTTTTGACTAATTTTTCGTACAGTAACTTTCTATGGCTAATTTTTTTTTTTTTCTAACCGAACTTCCAATTGCAATTTCCAATTTAATTTTACTCTTTTCATTTTACTTGGTTTAGTCGTATTCCTCTCGTATTTTATCCTCTCGTATTTTTAACTTTAACCGACGATTGTAATTTGATCACTCTGTTGATGACGCACGAATGTGTAAATTCTTTGTTTGAGTAACGTATGTAGGATGATAAATTGCTTTTTTTTTTTTTTTTTTTTTTTTTTTTTTCTCTCCCAGTTAAGTTCAGTTCATAATGATGAAACAAATTGAATTCTAAAGTAAATAATGGCAATTCTAAAATGTTTATCTCGATAATTGTGGTTTTATATTTTACGTTTAAAATATAATTTTTTTTATAAATTATCAAATTGTTTCTAGCATAAAAAAGATGGAATAAAGGAAGGAATATTTCTTCTTGTTCAATATATTTTATTAATATTTACGTAATATTGTATTTGAATCGAAATCATTATAGTATCATTATTATTTAACGATGGCAGTAATTCATAGACATTATGTACATTATCGCATTATACGTATGAAAAAAGAAACAGACAAAGACACTAAGATAAATAATATTAATTAATCGTGCTGATTGGTTTGCTAAAGAAGCAAAGAGCAAACGAGAAAATATCACTATTGTTTGCGTAATTTTTTTTAAAATGATGAGGGAATTTAATAGCATTCAATCAGCATATCTTATATGTTGAGAAATGTAGAGGAATATTATTTAGCTTCTAAAAAATACGTATCAATGCAACATAAAAAAGATGAATTATACTATTGTATTTTTCAAGAAATATCATTTCTATTTATATAAGATATATAAGTTTAGGTTAAATAGCGAAGATTATTTTTGTCGTTACTAATTCATTATTATTCTCTTTAAAATATCAGTAAATTTGTACACTTGAATCTATTATTAAAAAAAACAATATGATATACATGGATACGTACAATTATATATGATGCAATCAAAAATAATCTAATCATCTAGCCAAGAATTAAATTCATATCGATTTTCTATTTCCGTTAAACCTCTTAAAAAAAATAGAATCATCTAATTGATGATAAGCAAGGATAAATAAAAATTTGACTTATTTATTAAATACCATGAAATGTGTGTTTCTATAAATTTTTAATATTTACATTAAAAATCTCCCACAAAATGCATAAACATCCGCAGTCTGATGATGAGTATGCAGAACTCTGGCCACGAAGCAGCTATCTATCGATCTCTAATGCTTAATTCAGTCGGCGTTCCGCCAACTTTTCTTCGAATCTCTTCCTCATTCTTAACTTCTACTATTTCCATTACCGATTCACCCAAAGATTC